CAGTTCATAATTCCAGTGTCCCAATTTTTCCACATCCCTTCCAACATTTGTCACTTTCCCCTTCTATCATTTTAGCCAATCTGGCAGGTATAAAATGATATCTCAAGGTTGTTTTAATTTGCATCTCTCTGATTTCTTTTTATATGACTATAAATTGTTTTGATTTCTTCATCACAAAACTGCCTGTTTATATCTTTTGACAATTTATCAATTGGGGAAATAACTTGTATTCTTATAGATTTGACAAAGTTCTTCATATATATTAGATATGAGACCTTTATCTGATAAACTGTCTATAGTCAACATATATTTATAAAAGGCACTCTGTCTGCTGGGATACAAAGATAAAAAAAAAGATGAAAAGACCCCAAACTAAACAACATAAAAACACAACAGAAAAAGTCACTGCCCTTAGGGAGAATAAGTTTTATTGGGAGTGGGATACACTATATAAAAAGATAAATACAAAATCACTCTATTTATTTACAATTAGGGAAGGTGGGAGGAAGAGAGCCCTACCACTTTGAGAGGCACCTTGATACAATAGGAAGATTGCTGGCTTAGGAGCCAGAGGACCTGTGTTCAAATCCTGCCTCTATTACTTATTACTGGAGTAACCTTGGGCAAGTGACTACTCTTCTTAAGATTTCAGTTTCCTCATCTGTAAAATGGAGGTTCGACTGGAAGATGTTCTCCTATGTCCCTTCCAGCTCTGAATCTGTGATCTTATAAACTCTATTCGTAAATGGTTCCTTGTTTATGCCATAGTCCTGGGAAATTTGGAGAGGCAAAATGGTGCTGTGGATAAGAGTACTGGACTTCCTAGACTCCAGTTGTGTGCAGACACTTCTTAGCTGTGTAATTCTGGGTACATCTCTTAGCCTGTCTAGGTCTCCACTTCCTCATCTGTAAAATGAAGAAGGGTTGGACAGGATGGCCTAATAATGTCTCTTCCAGCTTTGTCTGTGATCCTATGAACTAGGGGGAATCAGGAAGGGCTTCCTAGAGGAAGTGGCCTCGAAGCTGCACCTTAAGTAAAGCTAAAAATTCTAAAAGGTGAGGATTGAATGCATTCCAGTTACAGGGGACAGCCAGTGAAAGGGTATGGAGAGAGCAAATGGATTGCTGGGTTCCAGGAACAGCAAACAGGTCAGTTTGCCTGGGACATAAGAGTATGTGAAGGAGAGTGATGGGAAATGAATCCGGAAAGGTCAGCTGGAGTCAGATTTTGAAGGAAGGGCTTTAAATGCCAAGCAGAGAAAGCTTATATAGGCTTGTCAGGGGAGTAGCATGGTCAGAGCTGTGCTTTGTAAAGACGACTTTGGCAGCTGTGTGGAGGATGAACTGGAGAAGGGAGATTAGAATAAGACAAAGCAGAAGGCTGTTGCAAATGGCAAATGTGGCCCAGTGAGTGGAGACCAGGGGTCTGATGAAAGAGATGTTATGGAGGGAGAACCCACAAGCCTCAGCAACTGGTTGGTTGGCAGAGGGAGTGCGGGAGAGGAAAGAGAGTTTTGTATTTGTATCCCCCAGCACGTCATGCGGCAGCCCCCCACTTACTAGATGCTTGCTGAATGTAAGAGCCAGGGAGGACTTCAAGGCTTCAGACCTGGGGGAGTGGAAGAATGATGGGGCCCTAAATAACAACAGAAATTAAAATGCCTGTGTGAGTTGAAGAGAAGAAGAGATAATGAGTTCCATTTGGAACACGATGAAAGGAAGTGAATGCATGGAATGTCTCTCCTTTTCCCAGGAGATTGGCTGAAAAAAATGGGAGGAGAGATAATGGACAATAGTCTGAGGGGATGGTGCAGTCTACTAAAAGTTTTTTAAGGTTGGAGTTTTGGACTTGTTTGATGGCAGCAGGGAAGGAATAGCTCTTCAAATAGGTCTTTTATGTCACTTCTAAAATAATCTTTCCACTTGTGCGTTGTCTTCCCCCAGTAGACTGTAAGCTTCTTGAGGGTAGGGGCTCTTTATTTGTATCCTCAGCCTTTAGCAAAGTGCCTGACACATAGTAAGTGCTTAACACATTTTTTTTCCCTCTGCTTAAAAATTTCAGTGGTTCCTTGAATTGGTGTTGAAAGCCCTCCATGACCTGGCGTGGCTGCTACCGTTCTGGTTGGAGCTCACACAATCACCTTCTGGGCACGTTATGGTTCATCTAAAACTCAAATGCCACTCCCTCTACGAAGCCTTTCTTGATCTGCTGGTTGATTTTTCTCCTCAGGCTTCACACAGCACTTTGCAACATCTTAATGTATTTTTCATGTAACATTTTATAGCTATCTGTGTTCCTATCTCATTTGTCCACTTAACTAGGAGGGAAATACATCAGGGGCAACTACCCTGATTTTATCTACCCTTTTAATTTTAGCCAGTTGGCATACTACAGTAGTATAAAAACGGGAGGCGCTCAGATTTCTGAGCTTTAAGACAGTGTAGATGTTATGGGGGAATCTGAGTCTTGGCTTCTCCAAGGATAGAGTTAGTGTAGTTAAGTGCTGACATCTGAACCCCAGGGCTCCTAATTCCAAATCCAGCCTTGTTTGCACTTGTTCCCCAGAGGGAAGGGGCAGAGGGAGTGAATAAGCATTTATACAGTACCTACTATGTGCCAGACACTGTGCTAAGTCCTTTACAGATATTATCTCATTTGGCAAATGAAGTCAGCCCTAGGCCAAAGTCACTGTGGTATCTATTGTTGACTAGCTGGTCAATGGCCAGTTTTGGAAAAACATTTTTTTGGATTTCTGTCTTTCCACTCATGCTGCAGATGACAGTTAATTGCCTCACTAGTCTCATGCCCAAGATTTGTGGTATGTCAAGTTTTGCCTCATCATGAGGAAAAAGTTCAACATGGGTCAAGTAATTCAGCTTATCTTACTCATCTACAGAAAGAGTATGGGGCAAGAATTGATGGTAAAAGCTCAAGGACCAGAAGCCCACTAGGGCGCTCACTTAATCTATACACTTCTTTGAGGAAAGAGAAGTAAATGATAAAGGGAAAATGGACTCAAATAAGGATTTAGCAACAAAATGTAGCTGGATGGCCCAGTGGATAGAGCACTGGGCTGAGAATCAGGAAAACTCATCTTCCTGAGTTCAGACACTTACTAGCTGTGTGACCCTGGCAAGTTACTCAACCTTTCTGGAGAAAGAAATGGCAAACCAGTCCAGTAACCTTTCCCAAGAAAACACCAAATAAGGTCACAGAGGGTCGGACACGACTCAGAAATGACTCAGCAGCACCACCAAACAAAATGCAATTTCCTGGGCATGTTCCAGAATCAGTATTCATTTGTTCCCATCTCCTCCATGTACAGTAGGTTACAATCATCACTGATCCTGAGGCAGATAATGGACTGTTAAAAAAAAAAAAGGTGAAATTATTCTTTGTATTTCCTCAGGCTGAGCTGCCTGTCTTGCTAAGGAAATTCTATTAGTTTAATTTGTTATTAATTTATTGCACAGGATTTTAGAGTTAGAGGGGACTTTAATCCAACACTCTTAACTTTACAGGTGAGGTTAACCCAGCTTAAGGTTGGGTCACCTGCTCAAGGTAAGGAAAAAAGCCGTGATCTGAACCAAAGTCTTCTGACTTCAAGTCCACTGTTCTTTTTTGCTAGCCCACTATTTCTCAACAGCTTGAACCCACAGTGGTTTTCTGGTTAGTCTGTAGTTAACTCTGTCTGCAACCTGATCTTATGGCAAAGCAATGCTTTGTTCTATAAAGAAAGTGCTATTAATGTCCTTGTGCAATCATTTTTCATTGTCTGACTCTGTGTGATGCCATTTGGGCTTTTCTCGGCAGAGATACTGAAGTGGTTCTGCCGTTTCCTTCTCCAGCTCCTTTGACAGATGAGGAACTGGGGCAAAAGGGCGAAGTGACTTGCCCAGGGTCACACAGCTAGTAAGAGTCTGAGGCCTGACTTGAAGTTGGGAAGATGAGTTTTCCCCTTTCCCCAGCCCAGGGAAGTGTATTGCTAATATCAAATTTCAACAAATTCAATTCAGCATTTTAAAATCTAGTTATGTGCAGGGAGATACAAAGATAAACACAACACAGTCTCTGTTTTAATGGAGCTGATCATTTTTTAGAGATATGAAACACATACACATAGAAGTAATATAATATGGCAAGAAGAAAGTGCTAATATAAAGTCTGAAGAAAGAAAGTTCATTTCCAGTTGGAGAGGGGGTATGGATTAGGAAGGAAGGAAATAAGCATTTATTTACTAAGCACCAGGAACTCTGATAAATGTTTTACAAATATCTTATTTGACCCTTGCAATAACCATGAGAGGTAGGTGCGTTTATTATCTTCATCTCTGTTTTACAGTTGGGGAAACTGAGGCATACTGAGATTAAGTGACTTGACAAGGCTGGGGGTGGAGCAGGGAGAGAAGTCACACAGCTGATAAGTTGTTTGAAGCTGATTTGAACTTAGAATTCCATCTGAACCAGACTCCAGGCCCAGCACTCTATCCATTGCACCATTAGCCACTTCTTGCAAAAGGGGCGTTTGAGTTTTAGTGGATAAATATGATTTTTAAAGAAAGAGAAGGATGGCATTTCAGGCATTTGATGGGAAGTTGATGGGAAAGTGTGGGATACATGCATTAGTAAGAGATATGACAAGAAAAGCAGGGTGGTAACATATAGTGGAGGGCTTTGTTATAGTGGAGTTTGGATTGTATTCTTTAGGCAATAGAAACTATTGAGAAGGTGGGTTTTTTTGTTGTTATTGTTCAAGGTGTGACATGTTCAGGTCTGTGTATAAGAAAGATTAATATGGTAGTGTTTGAAGGAGGGATTGGAGAGGGGAGGTGCTGGTTAGGAGGCATTAGTCCAGGACAGTGAAATAATACTCTGGGCTAGGTTGATGGCAGTTGGAAGACAAAGGAGAGGACAGATCCAAGAGACTGTGGTGGAAGTTCAGCAACATGTGTCTGTTTTGAGATAAAAGACTGTGTTTAAATAACTTGTTTTTCTTTCAGAATAATCAATGCATTCCAGCAGGATTAGAGAACTACTACTCGGAACAAGACTCCAATGCCCGGGGGAAATTTTACACAGTCATAAACCACTACAACTTGGCCAAGCAAACCATCACTCGCTCAGTATCTCCATGGATGTCGGTGCTGTCAGAGGAGAAACTGTCAGAACAGGAGACGGAAGCCGCTGAGAAATCAGCTTAGTGGGATAGGCCCATTATTTCCAATATGTCATTTTAAGGTAACAAAGGGACTTTAAGGAACATTTCATTAAATATAATTATGGATAATTTAGAGGTTACTCATTTATGGTGCAACTGCTTCTGTTTGCTGATACTGCTTTGCAAATAAAACTTGCTGCAGAACATTCATGGGCATACAACCAAGTGCATATCAACATTGCTTAAAGAGCTCTGATGCCATTCCCCACATTAAGAAATCTTCAGTTAGCTAACCCAGATATAGCCTGGGATTTATTGGATGTTGTCAGAAAATAAATGTATATTGGATTTGCCAGGGATTGGTCTTCAGATAAATCATGCATTTTACTTGTCTGAATTAATACATATATTTTTAATCACCTTATTGTTTTGCAAACTGAACACCACAGCCATAACTAGAGTGATCTCTTGTTTAGCTCACAGTGAACTTTCAGAGCTTAAAAATTCTTTCCAGCTCAAATTAAATGATAACAATGCTGACACTTAGGTCATCCAGTAATGCCTGGTTTAGAGACCTAAGGGGGAAAAATTCATCAGGTGGCATATTTATTGCATTTCCTCCCCTGCTGTTGACTTGTAAGTGATGATGAGGTTCTCTACAACAAGGCATGTTCATTGGGGTTTTCTTATCACTATCAACAGAACATCACTGCATTTCCTTGGTGGTTTTGGCAACTTTTGAAAGGAGATGAAGGGTGTTCTGTTTAGAAGTGGCCTCCTGGGTGGCCGTCCTGGACAGTGAGGAAACCCTTTTTTTTTTTTTTTTTGTAGATAGTCTACTCTGTAATTTATCTGATAGGAAAGGAAGTCTTCATTCACACTGGTTCATTTTTATATTCCATTAGAAATGGATCTGCACTGATCTTACTGTTTGCAAGTTAATTAGGAAGCACTACAGGAGTTGGGAGTGGGTTGGGAAGGGAGATAAAATTGTGGTGGCTGTTTTAATCTAAGCTTTTTGAATTTCTGAATTGCAAAAACTGGGAAACAGGTATAATAACCCAAGATATAAGGAACAGGTTAAAGAGGACATGGAGATCAGTGTTGTAGCTGCAGGTTCAAATAGGAAATTTCATTTCACAATCTCTGTAAGAAAATCATATTTCAATTTTATTCTGAACATCAAATATATGTTTACAAAATTGCCAGTTAGACAAAATAAGTGTGTAAAACGATTAAATATAAAAAGATATTCACAATTTTTTTCCTCCACGTTATTTTGGATGTGCTATCTCTAGTGGACATGTCAAAAGTTTCATTGTTTTTTAGTAGATAACCGAAATAAAAGCAAACAGTAGTAGGTTGTTCACCCAGATTTAGTTAAAACAAACACGGTGAGCATGGTCAATTCTACCCTAGGTTCCTTAATTTTTCTTCTAAGACAAATATATTTTATTATCAAGAATGTTTCTAAACAAGGACCATGCTTTCTTAATTCTACTGTTTTAAGTACCAAACATATAATGAGTGTTCACTGAACAGTTATGTACTGTAAAAGACTAGGGTAACAGTCACTAAGCTGTGTGGAATGCATAAAAAGCAATAAATTATGTGCCAAAACTTTTCCTGCATAAAAAAGAACTGAAATCCATGTAAACACATGATTAAAACAAACCATGTTTGCGTTTTATAGTAGATTATATACTTTATTGAATGTAAATTCATTCGCATGTAACTTTTGACATTTTCACTCTGTGTAAATAAAGTACAATAAGGATATCACTGGCTGCCTAATATCTGTTTTGAGAGGTCACATGCATTTTCCAAATATTACAGCAGAACAAATTACATCAACACATTTACAAAGGGGACATTAAGATGCTGAGACAAGGCAAGGCTTCTTGTCACAGGGTGGCCTACATAGAGGTGGTTCACAGATGTTTGCTCTTTCAATCAATAATTAATCTTTCAAATTTCTACTCTTTAGGCAGCCAACTGCCGAGGGACAAAAGTAGGCCCAGGACTTCCAATGTAGATCTTCTCTGTACAAAGAACTCCTCTGAACATAATAGCAGGAGATTGAGCCTAATATGAACTACCTGCCAGCCCTGTCATAAAAGCATACAACGTGATATTTCCGTTCAGGAGGCAGTCAAAAACAGCACCTACCTTAGGCTACTGGTTCTTGTCTATGAGTTTATGCCTTGATTATACCCTAGAAATAAATACTTGATAAGTTTGGCTTTTATCTAGTTGATCTTTGGTTCTATTGCAATGTTTCAGTACCTTGTCATTACATGATGTGTATACTCTGAATGATCTAGAAATCTTAATTTTTACATTTATAATCTACAATAAGTTAAATCATGTCAAACAAACTCATAAGATTAACACGTAGACTATCATTTTTCTTTTCTACAAATACAATATGCCTTTGTGAATGAACAGTTAATCATTTCAGTAAGATGAGAAGTTACAGGAAAAAGAACAGAAATAATCATTTTGTAGGGAGATTACATAAATGTTAGGTCTAACAAGATGGGAAATCAGTCTCCCTGCACAATCTCTTCCTCAAATTAGGGTCTATGCATTCTCTGCACACCAAAAGCATTCTTCACAATATCACTCATTTTGATAAGAAACTGAATTTCTCTACTACTGAGCTACTCAGTGTAGTTTTAGGTTTTTAAAAAGGTTTCAGTCAACAATTCATTTTACTTTTTATTACTAAACTAAAACCTTGTAAGTGCAAGAATTCATTGTGTCTACTAAATGTACTGAAATAATTTGAGGATTCCCTTTGTGAGTGTGTACATATACAAACATCCGTAAGTGACTTCGTTGTAAAATTCTTGAGTCACAACTGGGTGACAGTCGCATAAAACACCATACAGTACATTCTGCTTTGTTCAAAGCAAAGTGTTCTGTGATTTAATGTTCGGATGAGCAAGGCACCAAGGCCTTCAGAATGAAAAAGACACCAAAAAAAAAAAACCAAAACCCCAAACCCAACCACAACTAGCTATCATACCAGTCCAAGAAAAGCAAGGAGAATGAACACATCACAAGGAAGAAAAGAATCCAAACACGGAATCCTGCGTTGTTTTTAATTGCCTGCAAAACAAAAATGTTCAATCACTTTACCTAACTTAAATTTTTAGAAAGCACAAATACATCCTATTTACTTCTCTGTATGTGATCTCTAAATTCCCTATCTAGCTCTAAAATTCCATGATTCTGGAAAAAATTTTATTAGGAGCCATATTGCATTTGAGTTACTGCAGAAATCTATTTATTGCTTGTACTCTAGGGCTCTCATTATGGCATATCATTAGCCCAGGTTTTTCATTAGGTCACACTGCATGGATTAAGTCAAATTCTGTTTTCGAACCTTGAATTATAAGATTACTATTTCTGTTCTCCATGGATGATATCATAGAATCTAAGCCTTAGGGATCCTCTAGTCCAACACCCTCATTTTGCAATCAAAGAAACTGGGGCTTAGGGAGACAAAGTAACTTCCAGGGTCACATATCAAAAAAAGCAGAACTGGGATTTAAATCCAGGTCTTCTGACTCCAAACCCAATGCTCTCCATTTGCTTCTGATTGTTGCCTGGGAATCTCAAATGTTCTCCCATTACCACGCTAACAATGATATGTAATTTGGTACATGTTTCCTTTACATAGTAAATTTAATTACTAAATAAAGGCAAGACACATGTTTAAATGAATCAGAAGACATATTTATTTGGACTAAAGTACAATATCCTTACTACCAGGAAACAAACAAACCACCACAACAAAAAAAAACACCCATGCTAACAGTCAACTTTGAGAAATCTTACTACAAAACTTCTGCAGCAGTTCAGCAGATGCCCATGGAGCTTGATTCATGAACACTTGTATTGGAAAACAAAAATAAAATGTCATGAAAGTAAATTTCAGAGTAGCAAATATCTGGCAATAGCTAGAAGTAAATAAAGAGCCCCTCAGAAAACTGAAATACTGATCATATAAGGCAAGGTTTGAAAATCAAGTTTGACTTAACTGAGGAGCTTGGTATTTCCAATAATAGACCACGAACATGAAATGCCATGCATTTCAAGCACAAACTCTAGTTCGGCTATGGTACTAGGTTAGTGTGGCCCCTCACAGGAGTATCTTTTCTCTAGGTTTCTTGTTATTTAGAGGGATCCACAGAATCCAGCACATACCAAATGGGGAACACAGATCTAATCACACATACCCAGAGTTAAGTATCTAGATATGAACAAGGTACATCACTTTAGGTCCCACAACTGAATTCTCAATATCAATACCTGGTATTAAGATGAATAATTATTATCTAGGCTATCTCTAGTCTCCTCCCAATAAGGACAGCTGAATAATTAGGACACCACTGGGAATTAGTGCAAAGACCCATCCAAAACTAGACGTCAGGATATTTATCCACAGAATTCTTTAGAATGTTTACCTACCTCCCTTATGTCTTCATTACCTTCCTTGATATTCTCTGTTGCACCCACAACAAGCTGGTGAATGTTGTCTATCTCAGTTTCCTATTACAGAAAAATGTTAGATAAATGCATTTTTAACCTACAAACATAAATGTGTATTTAGGAAAAAAAAAATGTGGATTTAATATTCTATTCTAGTCTCTATATTACAAGCATTCAATGGCTAAAAACCCAAACCCCAAATCAGAATGCAAGATGTCTTCAAATAATTTTTAAAAAGTCATTCATCATTAATATACTTGGAAAAAATGAACAAAAGGTGATGTGTTAGATGTCACTCTTATGACTGCACAATAAGATTTCTGGCTAACAGGTTCTCTCCTCTCCAACACTGACATATTTTTTATAAGTCTGCTTGTCTCTCTTCCTTCAAAAACAGCAGAGATGATGTTGACATACATTGTCTCATTTGCGTTCTCTTCCAACTTCGAGATTGTGTGGTATTGCTAACATTCAGTTTGAGAGAGTACAAATGTTAGCTGTGTAATTACAAAGAATGTATTACTCATTCTTAAGAACAGCATCGATACTTGTTATTGCTTTTACCTTCTAATTATGGTTCTTTAGAGAACCTTAAAGCAAAAGCTAATTAGTTACTAGAAGTTTAGCATTCCTATGAGATCAATCAATATTAATATCCTCACCATATAGATAAACCAGGGCAGACAATTGCTCTGAGTCTCAGAAACAAGGGCAGGATATAGAAACTCTATATGCAGTGATCAATTTCAATTCTGCAAACACCTAAGAGGCACCTATCCAGAGCACTGCATTAAACAGTCTTAAAAAAAAAAATTCCCCCCAAACATATAGGGATCACCATGACAGGCAATATAAGAGAATTTTAAAGGAAAAGGCAAATTGAAGAAAATGAGCATACAACTGACAACTATTATGAACAAACTTCAGGAGAATACAACTGCCTGGTCTGAAAAAAGTGTCAGACCAAAATTCATACATGGCAAAATGATTATTTCCTTAATAAAGAAGTTGTGACAACTTAGACATGAATAAGGTTGCAATTACTTGTACATTAGCTATGAAAAACAACTTGCTAAGCAAATACTTCTGAAGCAATTTTTAGCCTACACAGGTGAACAAACTTCTGAATGCTTTGGCACCACCATTCTCATACGGTGAATCCATGTGTTAACTTAAACTGTTCATTTAATAACTGGGGTTACAAAATGTACTTGAAGATATTCTGTAATTAAAGTAATTCTGTAATTTTATTAATTATGACCTTTAATCAGTTAGTGCATGCCTTTTCTGTAATTCAACCCAACCTGGGTACACTTTTATAATGCACAAGTTAATAGCAACAATGATTATACATGAGAGGTATCAGTTGGAAAGACATGTACCTGTGTCAGTACCCAGTACCTGGAGTATTTATTAGTTGTTCTAATAAAGTGATCATGCACATTATTTTTTACACTGCAGACATGTAACAGATCTGTTTTTCCACAATAAAAACGTGAATTTCTGACTGCACCACAAATCTGGGTTAATGATCTACAACTGTGTATTCTACACAAGGGCAATCACTATTAATTTTCTGATATTAATCTCATCATATATATGAATTGATAATACTTTAAAACATTATTAAAAATAGTGTTTGGTGAAAGTGAAAACCCAATTTGTTTCTGGATTTAATGAATGAAATTTAAGAACTGGTTCATTATTGCTATGTGGTTTAAAGAAAGTAAATTTTTTAGTTAAAATTTCTTATGTCAAAGTTGCCTACCCTAACAACTAAGAGAAGAGACATTTTTCTCTTAAGCATCATTAGTTTTTGAAAATTAAGACAGACATGGCAGATTTATCAGGTAAAATTTTCTAAACAAAACAAAATATTTATCACCTGTCTTTTTTTTTGGGAATCTCAAAATTTCAGTTAAGTAGTAGGCAACATAAAGTATAAATCACTCTAATAGAAAACAATGACATTTCTTATCTACACCCTTTGCATTATTGAGCACTATACAGTTTTAGAGGGGAGTCAGACTTATTAATTTAGGTTCTGTCAAACTCCCATACTTAGCTGTTAGGTTTCTAGATTCATTTTTATTTTGTTAACTATCTTATTTTAATCACATGTTCCTTCAGGAAAAGTATACCTAGCATTTTACCTTCAGTGTGCTTTACTAATTAATACTACAGGCTTATTCCCACTTAATGTTGTTAACATGTTCTGCCAAAACACAATGTTAGGTGAGAATGGAAATGGGGGCTGTTTGTCCCTTGAAAATATTATTGAACATGGGGACGGTAAGCATACTGACAATCAATGGAGCTAAAGTTGCTGGGGTTCAATCACTCATTTGGCTCATGACCAACTATCTGATTTGTTTTGTACCTTGACTGATTGTGCAGAGGACATTACAGAAGGGTTTCATGCCCTTATGGAAGGGCTTGCTTATAATGGATTAATCATAATGTATTAGTTATACTATAAAAGAACACTGTTAGAATGTTACAGAAGATATAACAGTATCAGGCAATATCAGAAAAATAACGTGATTAAGAAATGTTAAGTCATTCATGATAAGTACATTCCAACTTTACATAAGGACATCTTTACCTGTTGCAAAACCTTTTCTGTGAATATCTCTTGAAGTCTGGAAATTTCAACCACTTTTCCCTCAATTTGCCTTCATAAAAACAAGAAAGGATTTAATATATTTTATGTCAACTACAACTTGATTCATATATCATGAAAGATATAAAATTTCAGAGTTAAGAGTTCAAACCCCACAGTATGACTAAATGTGATAACTTTGCCAGAAATTATGGATTGTTAGTGACCCCCAAAGAAAAAGTCTTTCCAATGTGATGGTGGAGGTATGTTGGAGAAACTCAAAACAGTTAACTGCATGGAGAGGATGATGGGGAAGATTAATTTTAAGTATGGCTTTACCTTTAATTTTTTTTTTTTTACTCTTTTATCTAGTTTTCCCTATCTGTGGCAATCTATGCTGATCTAATGAGTAAATTGGCATTTATCAAAAAAAGGAGATGTAATATGCAAATATTCTTTCCTTTGCGTGAACATCTATGAAGTAATGTAAGAACACATATTTAAATTAGCTACAGAATTCTAAAATTTGTTAGAAGGACTTTGAGTATGGGCCCAGCACTGAACTATGTTTGTCATCTGATACCTACAAGAGACAGATTCTTAAAAGTATGAGGGGTAGATACCAACTTTTGTATTATATGTGTTTTGCAAAATACATAATCAATTTTACCTTCCACACATTTGACTGACACTAAAAGAGTTGTGGCAGGAAAATTCCAAACCACACAGTGTAAAAGGTTCCCTAGACGCCATATTTATTATTTGAAGCATCTGTGGTTTTTGTCAGTATTCCCTTCTCCACGGAAGAAAACACCTGTCTCCACAAGTTGCGAGACTGAAAAGAAGTGTATCTATTCCATGGTAAACAACCTTCTGATCATGAGCCTTCTTGTGTTTAGGCAGTCTGGTCATGAAATACAT